CTAAGCCGTTGTCAGTGTCAGCAGAGAAGCTGAAACAAGGGCGCGAGCGCAGAAGTGAAGCTTGGTCTAAGAAGGTTACACAACCTCACTTGGCAGAGGCAAGCGGTTTGTTTGAGGCCTGGCGGGTTAGTTCAGGATTCCAGAGAGCGAACACATCTGGAGCTGGGTGCTCAGCAGGACATCTGAAATCTCTCAAACCCAGAGGAGAGGGACAGAGTTGGGGGTTAAAACAGCAGTTTGTGCATTTTTGTATCCTGAGATGTGCGAAAAAAACAAAAACAAAAAAAACACACAAGGTGGGAGTGAAGTGAATACAACAGTTAGAAGAGGGTGATTCGACGAAACAGGTCAATTCTGTAGACTTAGTCTTAAAAAGAAGCAAAATGCAGTTAACTTATTGTGTCTCCTGAAAGCGTGACAGAAAAAAAGAATAATAAGCCACCTGCTGTCTGTAGTGGAGGAACACGTACTTGAATCTTTTTCTGAAATAAAATACAAGAGTTAGTGAACGTTACGAGTAAATGACCTGAAACATCTTACTTTAATCCTCTAAACACCAAAATCCACCAGCAAGTTTCAAAGGCATGATATATTTTACATTTCTGAAATGACACCAATTATCAGTCAGAAGTTGTAGAAAGAATCATTGGATGTTGAACTTTCCGACGCTCCTTAAACTACTCATCTGTCGTACAATTCAAGCATGAAGCTGAATCAACTCTGAACTTAAAACTGTGACACTTAATTAAAATCGCTCTGTTTCATGTGTCATTTAATATTTGCCCAAAAACTAAAAAACAAAACATTTTGTGCTCCTCGACATGACCGTGAAGCCACGACTGACTCGGCTGTGACCAAATGTCAGGGACTTCTCAGCTGAACTGCAGGATGTGTTCAAGCACAGCAGAGAGGAGACAAGCAGGAAGCTAATTTAAAATCCCAAAGAATAATCCAAAAACAAAATGAGAGTTTACTTTGACTTACAGATGTGCTGAAATATTTGCTCCTCACTGTCGGATTTTTGGCTTTTTGAGAGGAAATCTGTGGATGATCATGAATAAACTTTTCTGACCTTTAACTTTACACATAAAAACATCTGTAAGGAAACAGCTACACTGTCAAAACTCACTAAATAAAAACAAGTTAAACAATGGAAACTGCTAAACCAAAACCATAACAATGTAATATCATCTGAAATCGAGTGCAAAAACAATACATTTACATTTTTTATTACGTTTTCCTGAGATTTTTCCTGAATTACTGTGATAAAAGACCTCCAATGAAGTGTTAACATGCACTCAATTTGTTAAACAACAGTTTTACTTTGACCCAAAACTGTGTTAATTATTCCAATGAACATGTAGAAAATATAGATGTAATAAAAAAAGTTCGCTTCATTTGCATCCAGTTACAAAGCTTGAATGTAAAAGTTACACATAAATAGAAAACTAAGAAGATTGACACTGTATTTATGAGAAAAAAAATGTTTAGTTGATATTGTAGCGTAGAATTTTTTTGTTTAATAAGCTACATAAATGTTCATTATAAATAATTATTTTCATTTTATGTATGGAATTTAAAAGAGCACAATTAATACTGCATAAATTATAAAGTACATTTTCGGTAAAAATCTGAGAATGTAATTTGGTATAATATTTAAAACAACTGTTGGGTTGTTAATTTACAAATCATGTCTGTAATTTATTTCAAAAACCTGCAGTAAAATTGAAGCTATTTTCTGTAAAGTGTGGATTTTCTTGTTGCAGTGCAATGACTCAGAGCAGCTGTTCATTCAGCAGCCAATGTTTCCCCGAATTTTTCCTGAATTTTAGCACCGATACGTGAATATGTTGTTTCGTCTCGTGATTAATCAGCAGAGTATAAAAGTCACAGCACCGAGGCAGTCGTGGAATCTTTGCTGCCAAACAGAGTCGACGCCTCTGAAACCGAACACATCCGATGGCATCTTTAATGGCAGCTCAGGAGCCTTTTAGTCTGGAAACGGCTCCGAGTTACGATCAGAGCAGATCAGCGTCAACAATAAGAAGAACCACATGAGCCACTCGGACTCCCGTCATTCCATCAGTGCTCTCCGACCGCTGCAGTGGAAATCACATTACAGCTCATTTCAAGCAGCAGGCTGCAACTTAAACTGATTAGAGCCACTCGAGTGCCGCAATGCAGCGAAACTTTCAAACGGCCATTTGGTCTGATTCATGGCCTGTAGTTTTAATTCAAAAAAGGTGTTTTGATGCAGAGCTGTGACAGAGTGGAGCTTTTTTCCCCCTCAAACATCATTTTTTTGCAGCCTTTTCCGCCCATGAAAGTGCAAAAATAAGATTCACATCATCCACCTTTTTTTCCAGCTGAGCGTATAATGAGGTTTTTACAAATTTATGTATAGATGTTTTATTCCTTACATTTTCTTTTGTTGTCACGCTTGCCTCTTACACTGTGGGGGGGGGAAAAAAGACAGTCTTTAAGTATAATTTTCAAAAACTACAGCTAACGAGTAAAATCACAGAAAAAAGTTTACATTTCACATAATCTGTAAAAACAAAACAAAAAATAAATAAATAAATAAGAAAGGCCAAATCTGTACATTACATTCTTTTTAAATGAGTTTCTCCTTTTACAACATTTAACCATGAATTACACTATTTCTTTACAATATTTAAAGCAATTACTTTATTTAGATATTTTTTAACTGTAAGTTTTACCGACTTTTCCTGTCTTCTAATTTATAGTTAGTATCTATAAATCACAAAAGAAGTATTCATCAACTTACAAAATAATCAAATTAAAATACTACAAAATAACAAATGGGCCAAAATATTTAACAACAACCACTTCAACAATCAATTTTCTGTTCTATACAAATCAGCAAAAACTGTCCTTTATTTACAGATATTTGCCTTTATTTGAAAAATAATAATTAGAAATTAGAAAATTTCAAACAACACCTTTAAAAAAAAGAAAAAAAGAAAAAAAAGGGCTGTTTTTTTTAATGGTTAAAAAAAAATAAAAAATCGGCCCAAATTAGAAATAATGTCCACATCAAAAATCTGTTTCCATAAATAGTTATCATTTGTTTTACAGTGTCTGTAAAATGACTTTATTTGCTGTTATTCAAAAAAATGTGTTTGTTGTGGCTGTTTCTTTTCTTTTTTTCTTAACAGT